TGTAAAGGAAACAAAACACACACTGTAATCTAGTAAGATGAAACAAAGTTATTACCTATACATAGACAATAGCTTGAGATAGTCATTAAAATGCACATTGTAGACCAACATGTACATCAGTCAATGACAGCATTCTGCATGACATGCTAGGTATAGGTTCCAGAAATGCTGATGTGTATGTTTACCAGGCTCCTGCGCTCATTTTACTAGTATAGGTGCCAGGCTGTGGGTGTTAAAAATTAATTATAAAGAAGTTGGGGAGGATTAAGAAAATGACTGAAAATATAAAATTAGATTTTCATTGTTTTTAAATGCGTAAACCCATTCTTGTACATGAGAAATAAAACAGGTTTGAACATCACCTGTGTCAGCTGGGTTGTGTAGGGGTTCATTCCTGGCTCAATTAAAGCATTTGAAAGAACAGAGACTGCTCATGAACATTAAAGCTCTCACTCTTATGGCAGCCCACAGTCAAGGCATGTGCTGTGATTTGTATTCATTTGTGATAAACCCAAAAACTAAAATACTTTTTTTTCACTCAACGTATAGTGCATATAATATTAGTATTCCATAATTCATAAAACTGATTGTGAACAATAGAGAATTAGCTAAAACAAATTGCAGTCCATCCATTCAGCATTTTTTTTTTGCAGCTTTAGTATCCTGAGGTTATCTGTTGCAGAGCTAAACAATGTCCAGTTGTCACAACAAGGCAAAATACATTCTGGCTACCAATGGCAATCTTAATATCTGTGCTTTTCAAAGCAGACCTATTATCGAATTTTAGATTCGATTGAGTTAAAGTGACACTAAACTCAGGAATTAAATACTAAAAAAGCATTCCAGTACCATAGGGATTAACACAAATGTATCTTATTCGTGTATCACTTGGCTATAGATCCTCAAATCATCTCTGCATTCATGCTGACACTGTCCTTCCTTCTGGAGGGTGGTTACTTTTGTTCCCCATTGTCCCTGTGTGAGTTTTAGAGTGGCCACCAATTCAAGCTCGCTCCTGTGATGGACTACAATCTCAATATAAAATAGTAAACTAAACATGAGATTGTAGTCCATCACAGGAGCGAGCTTGGAGCACCATTTTGTTAATTGTTAGGGTGCTTGAATGAATTGAATTTTTAACTTCTGAGTTTAGTGTCACTGTAACAGACCGAGCTGTCCAGCAAAAGTGGCAGATAGAAGCTTGAGCAAAACTACTGAACACTGACAGGGGACCTACAATGTTACAGCTTGTTACATTCATTTATATAAAATCTTTTTACCAAAAGGAACTGTTGTCATTGCTTGAAAGGTGTTATCTGGAGTTCAGGTTTAGATTTGTTAACAAAGTCCTTCTAAAGGATAAAGGGATGTAAAGGGTGGCCCTGTTGCTCCTCCATAGAGAGGAGTCGCCCTAAGACATGAAGTGTGTTACTGGCTGGATCACCAGGTGAAAATGAAGGAATAAAAGCCTAAAAAAGTAAACTAATGCAGCCACCACATTTTAGAATTTGTAAACTGAAATATATAAAAATGTTTGTATTTAGGTTTAGATGCAATTTAAAGACAGACTTAACCAGTTTTAACTCTGATTCAGCTCTTTAGCAAAGACTACATGATCATATGTGAAGACGTTTTTCCGCCATCATCCTAAATGCCTCCACACTGTGGAAACATCACTGTAAATGACATCAAATTCTTATAGCTTCCAAAAGCAAAATGGCTTGGCCTAATGCTAGAGGATATCATTTGATTTATGTCAGTGGGAGAAGCTGAACCAATATAGAAAGTAAGGCTTAGCAGTAGTCATCCAAACAGTCCTAAAACCTTCATATTTTAAATGCCATGACCAATGGCTACTTGCCTCCATTACCGACCATTGTCTTCTACATGTGCTCTTCAGTTCCATTCATGAAGGTAGTATAACAGCATGTCCTAAGTTTTAACACACGACTGACTTTCCGTTCAGTATTTAAATAGATTCATTTAGTCAGCCATTTCTTAGCCTATAATGACAGCATATAAAACATATCAAATAAACGGCAGAGCCATGTTGCCTGTCTGTTATGCTGACCCTCTGTCTTTAGCTCTGAGTCACCTGTAACACGAACGTATATAAGGAAAGTCAGAGTAAAAGTCAAAATTCTTTATCATTATAATTGTTCTGGGTAAGTAACCCAACGTTTCAAGGCCACTGTGTCAACAAAACAGCCCAGCAGCTAGCATTTTTTTTAGAATGAGAACTATTGGAGCTTCCATGTTTCTCTTAGGAAAAGTTGCCTTTAAATTAATATTTTACAAAAAGAAACATTTTTCTTTTAGGTTGACTGGCCCTTTAAACGGACATACTGAATGGGATACAGAAAACACAATTAAAGCAGAACTATGGTCACCTCCTGACACCAACATCTTCTTCCAGTTTGGTGATCTTTACCCATCTTGACTGATGTCAGGATGATGCAACTTTATTAATTCCTCCTGGCACTTGCAGATGCCGGGATTGTACACTGAGTTGTGCATGCACATCTTGGTATATATTCTCAAAACTATAACGACAGGCGGGTAAGCGTCTTTTATTGCAGAAGAGACATAGGGTTTGATCTATAAAGCATTCACTGGGCTATTTGCCCAAATGTGCACACACAAATGTTCTTTAGTTCTTTTCTTTACAAATATAATTACATTTGAGTGTTCTGGCTGTAATATCACATAAATAAATAAATACATTCTTATGTCCTATGCTCCGTTAGCACCAGCTAGTGGCCATAATGGAATATTACAACCAGACAGTTCAAATTTAATTAGCCTCGTAAAGGAAAAAAAGAACATTTGTTTGTGCATATATACGCACAGGGCGAATGTTTACAGATATTCGCAGGGCCATTAGCCCTTCAATTTTTTATAAAACATCTCCATGGTGTATCTCTTCTGCAATATAAAAAGCCTGCCTGTTTGCAAAGGTCTGCTTTAAATTGGGCCATTCTGGAACAGACATCTGTAAGAGTCTGAATCTCTACCCTTAAACTGCTATAATTGTGCAACCTTATTTCTTAGGGATTGGTGTGTGTCATGTTGCTACTCTGTATTTGTATAGCTAAATCAGAGTGAAAATGTCAGTACTGTGTCAGGCTGTAAATCCCCCAGAGAAGCTGATCCACCTCGTGCCTAAAGTGTATCTAAACCCAAAAAACAAAAATGAAACATATTGCATCTTATCAGTCCTTAGATGAGGTGACTGCATTAGCTTTCTTTTTCTATGGCTCTTTTCCCTTTGTTGATCCTGCAAAATAACATGCTTCCTGTTCCAAGGTGAATTTGTGACTCACTCCACTGTATGTTTGGAGGGAGCCACGGTTTATAAGGACACTGCAGTTCTGGCAAGATCAACAAATATTTTCTGTACTTGTTGAAAATTTCCTTAGCCTGAAAAATAAAATTGATTGCAGAAATCACATCAAAGGACTTGTGAGCTGCAATTTATTACATTTTTATTCTTGGGTTTGGATATACTTTGAGCTCAGGGCTGAAAACTGGCACTAGGTCTGAGGGCAAAACTATCATTTAACATAACCTTTGGTTTTCCTAATGTCTGTTATTAGCACTGACCTCATGCAGGAGGTAGAATCTCAGCCCTATATGTCTGCTTTGAAAGGGAGATAATACAAGTGAAAAATCAAAATCAAATAATCCCTGAGACGTAAGGCTGCACTATTATACCAAACAAGGCTTGGAGATTGATATTATTTCAAAGGCCCATTGGTAAATGATTCTCTTTATTACTGCCCTGGTAAGTATTTTCCATACCTATATACATACTGCGTTTCCCCGAAAATAAGACCTACCCCAGAAATAAGACCTAGTAGTATTTTTGGGAAATTCTAAAATATAAGACCGACCCCGAAAAAAAGACCTAGTTGTGACCATTCCCGGGGCCGGTGGTGGCATAAAGGGGAACCGAAGAGCCATCGGAGAGGCGGGAGAGAATCAGCAGTGCCAATGAAGCCAGCACTAGAGGGAGAGAGGCGGCAGCGGAGGGAACAGAGCCGCTTCCTCTTTAGCGACGGCTCGTGTCACAGGCGGAGTGATACCGAAGGCACTCCGTCTGTGTGGAATCGATAGTGAAAGCGCGCTTCGCTCATTCTGGCCAGCGATTGGTTATCAAATTACTCTTGGAAAGATACGGCACCTCTGATTGTCCTGATCACCATATTTTTGTACATGAATACATGTAGACTGTCATTCGTGAATAAGTGTGGATTGTTGTACATTCAAAAAAAAAAAATAAGACCTACCCCGAAAATAAGACCTAGTGTATTTTTTTGAGCACAAAAAAATATAAGACAGTGTCTTATTTTCGGGGAAACATGGCACTTAGAAAGCATATATGATGGTATGTCTAGTGGATATAATGGGGTTTTTACAGACCACTAATGTTCTCCTGAGATTTAGTGCCTGGCTATTTAAAACAGTCAACTGAGCAGAAATACAGTAGATTTTCCTTGATTTAACACAGTCCGTTTAGCTTATACTGCACATAGTTATCTCCTATTTATAAAATGACAGAAAACTGCATTTCTTCTTAATAACAAAATGTAACAATGGAATATAGAAATAGTTCTATGTAAAAAAAAAGCAATTCTTTAGCAGATCTCGAAATAGTTATGTTCTCCTATAAGGAGAGTATAGAGTCATATTGAATGTTATTGAGTCTTTATAGACTTCGTTTCAAAGCCCTCCAATATTTTAAGAAAAGAGGCCAAGCTGGATGGAAATAAAAAATGTAGAAAAGCCCAGTATGGAAAAAAGCACAATGGTTTCATTGGTTGTTTGGAAATATGGTAGCAAAATGGCTCCAGTAAAGAAGATAGTTAGGTGGACAGGTCAAGGCAATTTGATCAAAGCTGTCTTCCATTTCCATCTGAAAAAGTTGTAGGTGGACATGGAAATGTTTCAGAAACATTCATATTTTTAGTTTCCCCCTTGTAGAGAGATACAGGTAGGTTGAGGCATAATCCAGTCAAGTTTCTCTGTGTATCATGTTGTCTTGATGATTGTTTCCCCAGAAGACTTTTTATGTAAGAAGCCAAGTTTAAGGGTGGAATTTTGGACCATGGACTCATCGTTCCAGACCAGCGATGTGGACAAACTCTTCCGATCGTTCCTGAATATGGATCTCCTGCGCTGCCTGTGTAGCAGCTGTTTAAGTTTCTCTTTGAAGAAGCTCGTAGTTAATGTGTACAGGATAGGGTTCAGGGCACTGTTAATCGGCAAAATGAATATCACAATCCAAGAAGTTACAGTGCCTGCAAACACAAGAAAACAAGAACGGGTTGAAGCTTTGGTGAGAACATTGCAATTACAGAACATTAAGATGTTTCGATATACAACCAGATGAAAATAATATAACAACATATGTCCCAATAAATGCACAAAAGCTGTGACTGGATAGAGATAATCTAATTTAGATAAAATATATTTTATATAGCCTTCATTACATTTTATCATAAAATGCACCATCTGTGTTCTGTAACAAATACCATCCATCACATTATTGTCCGGTCGTTTAGTAAGATTTAGTAATACCATATGCTATTTTTTACAACCTGTTTGTGTGGGAATTACCGATTAGATTGAAAACAAAATGCAAAAGAAATAACTGAACCAGAATAAGTACTGTAAAATGCATTAAAAAAAAGAAAATTGAAAAAGGCAGCCTGTATATGTGCAATAATATTACTTACTACTCCTGCTGCCAGTGATCTATTTTGGTCCTCTGGGAGTGGATGGATGCCTGCATCCTCCTGTTACATGATGTGGTTCCAACAGCCATCTGCTACATCACTAATGTTTTCCTGCAGCTCTGAATGGAAGCCACACTAGTGATTTAGTGGCCATTGAGTGGAACCACGGTGCACAGTAGAAGACGAAGGCATCCAATATACCCACAAGTGTTGGATGCTTAAAGTGACACTAAACTCAGGAATTAAATATTAAAAATGTATTTAAGTACCCTATTAACAAAAGTGTTTCTTATTTGTGTATCACTCGGCTGTAGATCTTCAAATCCTCTCTGAATTGGTGCCGACACTGTCCTTCCTTCTGGAGTGGCTACTTTTGTTTCCCATGTTCCCTGTGTGTGTTGTAAAGTAGCCACTGCTCCAAGCTCACTCCTGTGATGGACTACAATCTCACATTTAGTTTACTAACTTGTATTGAGATTGTAGTCCATCATAGGAGCGAGCTTGGAGCGGTGGCTACTTTACTACACACCAGTTACGTGCGCTACCTCTTGCTTGGGGTGAGGCATTCCCCCGCTCCGCCCCCACCGACGAAGCCCCGCCACAACCCATCCCCAAGCTAGTGTAAAGGAGGAAGGGAGGAAGCTCCCTGTCCCTCACTTGCTCCTCACTGCTGAGGCGCTCGTCCATGACAGGTTACACAGCGGGGAGGATTTCCCTGCTGTGTAACCTGTTAGATGTCGATCTGAATGGAGAAAAAGCTGTCAGCTTCAGGCATGAAGCTGACCGATTTTTCCTCCATAATTCTAGGTGAGGCTCTGCTCTGCCGCACCTGCCTCCCCTGACTGCACGTTCCTGCAACACACACAGGGACCATGGGGAACAAAAGTTGCCACCCTCCAGAAGGAAGGACAGTGTCAGCACCAATCCAGAGATGATGTGAGGATCTACAGCTGAGTGATACACAAATAAGTTACATTTTTCTTAATAGTTAAGGTACTTGAATGCATTTTTTTAGATTTAATTCCTGACTTTAATGTCACTTTCAAGCTCTGCAATAGAGAAATATAAGGATACATATACCATACTAAAAAATATACAGAGAATGATCTTAAAAATAGTTTACAAAATGTATACTAAAAACATTGCATAGTAAAACTTTTTTTACTGTACAATTTCTTTATATCATATAATTTAAAAAAAAATATTTGAAAGATTCTTTTCTGTATAATTTTTAGTATGGAACACTTATTCTTATGCTTTATCTATAAGAAAGTTGGTTTCATGCAGATAGTTTATATCTAACAATGCAGATGTATAGTTGGTTTATGATTTTCAAAGTTCTTTTATTCTGCATTCTGTGTGCTGCTACGTTCCCGCATTATTAAGTGCTATATAAGTCAGTCCATTCAGCTCACACACCAGGCTGGAGAAAGGGGAAAGGAATCACCATATCGCATTGCCATGGCTACCCTGTAATCCAGATGCTTTGCCCGGGGAAGCCACTGCTTTCCATCGATCACAAGGTCTAGCACTTAACCACTGCAGGAATCCAGGACACATTTTCCTGGTTAAACAATTAGCCTGCCACTGGCCCTGGCAGATTACTAGATGACGTCTCCCTCTCCTGCAGGATCTGACAGGTGATTTGCTTCTGAGTGTCTTGAGAGTGCATTTAGTTTCTTACAAAATACATTTTATTTGCGTTATTAAACAAGGTTGTTGCGCCCTATTATCTTCCTACCCCTGCCAGACAGCATAGACTGGTCCTTGACCTCTACTTGCACGGTTTGGTGAGAAACACACCCCCAGTTTTCCCATTGGATCATGAAAGAGCTTGAATGATTCCATGCTCATATACATATACTGTTTACATCTTAATTATTTAGCATATATGCAAGCAGTGAATGTAAAGTAAGCATGCTGGGGAGATTTTTTTCCCTTTACACAGCCTGCTCTTACATCTCACAATCTTTTTATAGATTGAAGAGTAAAGCTTGTCCGTCAGGGTTACAGGCTACGCATGTTTATTTCACTCACTGATGACTTATCTATCTGGTACACGCTCAAGAAGAAGATGTCCCCAAGTTCCCAAATGCAAAGGGGGTCACAATAGCTTTTTTTAAAAGTGTCCTACATATATAGATACGACATGGAGTGCCACTGAACAACACCATTAAGTATATGCAGTCATTCACATTGTTTGTGATGCGTTTATGCCCAGGAGGCAGACACCAACTTGGACCAGGACAACATATGTAGACATTTCTGCTCCTTAAAACAACATGTGGTTATATTGCATATACCTGGGATTTCTACCCTGAACAGGGAAAGAATCTTCAGAAGAAACACAGGAATCCAACACACGGCATCTGAAAACACTATGAAAAAAAATCTGTTGGCAACAGCGACATCCATGTGAATGTGACTCTTTATTTCCGAGGTCTGCAGAGCTGTCTTCTGTATGGAGCAGAACATGCTGACATAGGAGAAGACTATAATAATAAAGGCCACCAGGTTAACACCTATTATTATAAAGTAAAAAGAAAAAAAATGGCATCAGTAAACTGGTTTGGGATGTTTCATTTCAAGTATTTTATTATTTTGATAAAAGAATAGTTGTGCTCTAGCCAGTCAACAAGCACTATGTCCAAGGCAGCAAACAAAGCCAATAAGATCATTTTCTCTCTAACAGGGCTATGAGAGGATTATAGCTGGATAATGCACTGAAAGGAAATTCTTAGAAGTAGCAACTTTCTCTCAATTCTGCTAAAAACACTTCCTTCATCAACACTTTCCTTGATCTTGGCAGAATCTGCCTCCCTCTGCTGTAGAGATATCTCGGATTCCACAGTCAATTATCTTGCTCCCTAATGAAAGCTTCATTGTGCTGAGGGGATTTCTATGGACAGAGACATCTTTGGAGAATAACAAAAAGCCTTGACTAGAGCATAAAGTAAAATATCTGAGCAAAGTATATTGACAAAGTTGGTGAAGTTTTACTTTGGCTTCAACGGAAAGATTATAACTATGTGTTTGAGATTCAATTGCCTTATCAGACAATCAAATCCAAATCTTCAACTTTTTTTCCCCAACTACTTGACTATAGGGTATAACAGTTTTAAGTAGAACAATTAATAAATTAGGCTAAATAAGAGATATACAGTAAAGGATATTGTGGGGTACAGGGGTTCCACCATTAGTAAATATGAGAAGAGCCACATTAATACGATGGTCAAGAAATGTTAAAAAAAAGATTCCTAGTACAGTGTCACATGTACAGCAGGTTTCCAATGGGGTTCATTTGATAAAGAAGAGAGAATTTTTACTTAACAAAGTGCATGTTCAGCTTAGTAATAAAGTGAAGCTGTGTTTACTTGAAAACCCACATGATTTTGGATGATTGAAATGAATACAATTTCCCTAGGCTAAGTGAACATACATTTTCAGGTTCATTGTGATCTTTTTAAATCTCCATCTATATATAAAGAATTTGCAAGGAGTTGAGATTTCTTGATGCTGTTTTCTGCCCGGACAGATATTTAAAATATCCTCAATGAATTTATGGTTGCTCACAAATGGACACCATCAAGATCACAAGAAACATCTTACTTCAACCAGTAGTAAATTGCTGCATGCCCACCTTCTCTTATTTTGGGTATAAGATGTCATTAAACCTGACAGGGAAGAGGTATATTGAAAATTAAAATATAACGTACCTAGAAATATTCCCAAAGAATATCCCTTGCCCCCAGCCTCTTCTGTTTGATCAGGATACAAAGGGAAACAAACCCCATTTTTTCCATAGTAGTTTCCAAAAAAGTCTTCATTCCAGAATGGAATTACAGCAATTATAAATCCAATGACCCATATCGACATCAAAGTTATGAGTGTCTGGCGTTTGCCTGGACGAATGTTGCTGAATGGAAATACAATAGCTAGGTACTTCTCCAATGTCAAATAAGTCAGAAGAAGAACAGATACTTCTGTGGACAGCATGGCTAGAAATCCAAGGCTTCTACATTGTAGGCTTTCCATCCATAGCAGGGCATACTTTTTATACTGCCCACGGTACTTAACATCAAACACTCCAATGAAAAATAGATAGATACCCATTAATCAGGATGGAGGCCGTGTGAGCGGTGCGGGGAGGAGAGCTCGGTCTCCTCTGACAGGTGACTCCTTCCCTGCCCCAGCCTCCTGTGACAGCTGATAGCTGTCTCTGCCCGCCCCCACACCACCGCTCTCCCGATCTGTCACAGGAGGCTGGACTGGGCGGGAGAAGAACTCAGCCTCCTGTGATAGCAATGACAGCTGTCACCCCACACACCGCCGCTCTCCATCATGATCTGTCACAGGAGGCTGGGCAGTGAGGCAGGAGAGACGCCGGCTGCTTACATCGCTCTCCTCTCGAACCGCTGAGCCTCCTGTGACAGTTTCTCTCCTCCCCGCAGGGAAACAGAGCAGCGCCCAGCGGGGAGGAGAGAAACCAGCATTTTTCCAAAAGTGCCATTTTCGGCCAATATGTTTCGCCGGCCGAAATGTCAGTGCATCACTAATATATATGTATATAATCCCAGACAGACTCCATGATGTTGAGATCAGGGCTCTATGGGGGCCAAACCATCACTTCCAGGACTCCTTGTTCTTCTTGAATACATTTGGGACCAATCACATGCCTGATGGTATGGCATAATGAATAAGTATCTGCTTGTATTTCTCAGCATTGAGGACACCATTGATCCTGACCAAATCTCCAACTCCATTGGCAGAAATGCAGCCCCAGACTTGCAAGGAACCTCCGCCATGCTTCACTGTTGCCTGCAGACACTCATTATTGTACCGCTCTCCAATCCTTTGGCGAACAAACTGCCTCTTGCTACAACCAAATTTTTACTCCTCAGTCCAGAGCACCTGCTGCCATTTTTCTGCAGCCTTGCGGCCAAAAAGCCATACCTCCTACATGGAACCAAAGCTAAGTGACTCAACTATGCACCAAAACATATGAACTGGGGTGCAGCAATTAGCACTTTTATCTCTTAAACCTTTTTAACTTTACAGAATTTTTTCACACCTGCCTAAAACTTTTCTCTCAATACAGTAAATATATGAAGTCTGTACTGAGAGAAATGCATAGGCTGCAGGCTTCCTCTGGGTAGCAAGGACCTGAAAAAAAAACTACAGTTCTACAATAGAAAGTGTAAATAGAAAATTGACCTCTAAAAGAATGCTTTACTGTTCTGGAAACCAGGCAGGGATATCGACAGTTAGGCTCCGCTCACACCTAGGCGTTTTGCCACTTAAAGCAAAGCATGACAAATGCTCAAAACAAGGAATCCCATTCATTTCTATGGCCCCTGATCACACTGTTTTGTTGTGCGTTTTGTAGCACAAAGTATCCCATTGCTATCTATGGGACCAAAAAGCGCTATAAACTGCCAAAAAGTAGCTCATGTACTTTTTCGAGCAACAGGCATTTTTCTGCTTGCGACAAAACACTCAGGTGTGAACAGGGGCCATAGAAATTAATGCGATTCCTTGTTTTGAGCATTTTGTCACACTCAATACTAGCGAATAGGATTCCTTGTCTTGAACGTTTTATTGCACCTACCTTGACAAAATGCCTAGGTGTGAATGGGGATTAAAAGTATAAATATGAGCAAAAAAAAGACATATATGATGCAGTCTGGCACTAGCATTAACACAAATGTTTTTGTTTTTCTGACTACCCACTTAACTCCTATCAGCCAACGTAATGCACATATGTGTCAACCCAGCGGATTGTTCTTTACGCCAGCGGTACCCATATATGTATCACCCCAACGGGTGCGCCATAATGCCAGCTATACAGCTATATGTGTCAGCCTGTCCTCTGTTCTCACAGCGTGGCCCGTAGTGGAAAAATACGCGTGACTACAAGAAGAATTAACAGGTAGTATTATATTATATTTAAAACAATGAGTATCATATACTACTCAAAACAATGTTATTTCAGTGCTAGTGACAGACTGCATTATATATGTAATTTTTTATGTTATATTAAAGGGCTTGCTCTAATATGTCAGCCTATAACTTGTTGCGGTGAAAGTTGCAAATCAGCACATTTTTACAATCATGGCATTATTCCTCTCAATGAATGTCTACTTACAGCACAAGATCTTTATGGACATAGTGTGAGTCTTGTTTTCCGACTGAATAAATGATCGCATTCCAATGACGAAGATGTTCCCAAAGCAGGTAATGCAGGCTATCACCCAGACAAAGACCCGGAGGATGGTGTTGGCCAGGAGGTTTTCAAATGATGAGATACCGTCTGTAAGTGGTGTACATACTCGCACGTGAGGTGCATAAGAACAATATCTAAATTTTTTAAAATATCTTTAAAAAAAAGAAAAGAAAAATAACATAATTTCAAGATTGAAGAGAAGGAGACTTTCTTTTTAAAACAAATTAAATTATAAATACAAATATCTATATCTGACACATTTTTGACTGGTTGATTGTAAGATCAAATAATAATATTCATAAAATTATAAAGTATGGTATGAAATATTAAAACAGATCAATAATGTAATTTAGATGTTTTACTCTTGTAAATATAGCCGTATACTGTATCTGCACAAACATACAACTTGCATAAAGAAAATCTCTACAGCTGCAGAAAATGGAGCTAAAGAAATACCACCCCCCACCTTGGCTGTGCTCTACTCAGTACTCAGCATGTTGACCTGTAGAAAGGTTGCCAGTCTGGTCCCTCCGAATACTGCATGCAAGATTCAGTCATAATACTACGGAGTGAATGGCTGAAATTCTTGTGAGTCATACAGTAGCTTCTAACATGAACAAGGGATTAGGCCTTTTTATGCATTTTCATTTAAAAAGAGGAGTTTCTGAGACCAGCGCTATCATTCTTCAAGCATAAATGATAGCTGTGACTACGTAGACAGCTCCTTGGCCTTGTTTATAGGGGCATGTGAATGGGGGTGAAAGGCAAATCTCTAGCCATTAAGATGACATAAATGGAGAGATCTTACATGAAAGTAGGAAACATAAAAAAAAACCAAAAATGTTAATACAAATAAATAAGAAATCTATATTGTGTAGAGGCAGTAGTTGTGACAGCAATGGCAAGCTTTAAAAAAGCTGTACATTCTGGCTTCAGTTGAAAATGGTTCTTTAGTGACCTTAAATAAAGGAGAACTATGAGGTGAGTGAAAATCACTCAACCTCATAGTTCGAGCCGACGTGTGACATTTAAACTGTCACACGTCGGCTCAATATATCGGGAGGTGAGCGAACAGATACTGCCGTTCGCTCACTTCTCGATCATGTCCCTGCAGAGAGAGGTGACTGATGTCAGTCATTTATGAACAGAACCTGAAAACTAGCTCAGTCATGAAGGGGTTAAGTCCTGTTTTAAAACAGTTAGGTTTGGAGCCTTGGGCTAAACAATTTAGGAAGGATAAGAGTTATTTTATTAAAGTTTCTACTCATATGTGCTTTAAACAAGCAAACAGTGAATAATAATGTTCACTGCACATAGAAAATTGTAATTTCCCTCTGTGAGAAATACCAGTTGGTGGACACACCTTTTTATGTAGGTAGCTGCAAAGCTAGGGGACCACTAAACTAGAATCCATTATTGTGACTTGGACTGAAAAACATGGCAGCCTTTTTCTGGATGCTGTAGCAATGTACCCATATCTCTTTGCATTAGAGCTGTAGCTCGGCTGTAGATCCTAAAATCATCTCTGAATTGGTGCTGACACTGCCCTTCCTTCTAGAGGGTGGCTACTTATGTTCCCCATGGTCCCTGTGTGTGTTGTAAAGTAGCCACCGCTCCAAGCTAACGTGATGAACTACAATATCATGTTTAGTTTACTAATTTGTATTGAGATTGTAGTCCATCAAGGGAGTGAGCTTGGAGCAGTGGCTACTTTACAACACACACAGGGACCATGGGAAACAAAACTAGTCACCCTCCAGAAAGAAGGACAGTGTCAGCAGCAATTCAGAGATGATGAGGATCTACAGCTGAGTGATACACAAATAAGATACATTTTTGTTAATAGTTAAAGTGCTTGAATGCATTTCTAAGATTTAACTCCTAACTTTAGTGTTACTTTAAACCTGTGGGCCACCAAATAAACTGGAAACTTTATGGCTGCACAAAGAGAAGGCGCTTTCCAGGAGCTCTGAAACAGGAAAACACTCTAAATTGCAAATGTCAACATACATTCCAGTTCCTGAAGTCAACCTTTGCCCTGCTGATTCCTGTCTTATTAATAGCCAATAGCTATGCCTGATGGCCTAACTAACCAATAGACGGACACAGGTGACAGGAATATATACATAAATATACATAATAGGCGTTTGTGTTAATAAGTTGCTGTGTTTTCCAATAGATACATACATGTGGGTCAGATTCTTCATTGGCTGGAACATTCTTGTGCTTATATTCGGAATTTCGATGTTTTCCAGTGCACTGAAAAACATTTTTTTTACATTCAGTTCAATGTAATTATCTTGTTATATATTTTTTAAATGGATCATATAAGGAAAAAAAATATATTCATATGAGTGACAGGAGAAGGCTGCATGCAGCATATACTGTATACCGTTGTAAAAGTACAAAGTGTAACAATGTTGCATTGGCACTACAATGCAGCCCAAATTTGCATATTTCAATAACATTTTATCAGTATATAATATTTCTATGTCAGATTTACTCATGACTCACTACAGTATTCAGGATTAAGGACCCATTGTGTGATGGCATTCTGTCAACTTTCTTGTTTTCCTAATACATTTACAATTCAAGCACACACTATGATGTTTTAGCAAAATTACCATTCTGTACTGAGTATATTGTAAAAAAGTCTAAATCCAGCCAAAATGTTTCAGCTTTGTTTCTGGATAGAGTGGGGAAAAGTTAACTTTTTTTCTGTCTTTGACCGAATTGGGGAGATAATCAGTCACTTCCCATCCTTATGACACCATTACAAGAAATTGAGGATGCAGTTGCCACTAAGACAGTATAAACATTATAGGAATTCATAACTTTCAAATTTTCTTCTGTTATGAAAGTAAAGTGAAGGAATTCTATCTAATAAGGACACAGTCGGCAATGCAAATCTGACAGCGGCTTTCCTGCTCTATACAAAATAAAACGCTTTGGCTGTAGTTGGACTTTAGAAAACTGAAGTTGTAAGAAAATCTAAAGCAAGCTATGCATCAGGGTATATCATTTGTTATGGTCTTCATGTACGTTTTCACAATAAAGGGGGTTAGCAGGGATTAAATCAGACAGGGCTGTACATGAATTTATACTACTAATATTAACATTGGTGGTACACTAATATTAATTGGTGGTACCCAAATTAGTTCAGGTAGCCCATGAGAGCTCATAGCATTTACTCACTAAGACATCCCTGTTCATCATTGACATTTTGCAGATGAACAGGAGTGTCTTAGTGAGCATGTGTGCTGCTTTGAACTCTCATGGGCTGCCTCAACTCATTTAGGTACTGTGACATACATCCAACCTGTACCCGCTGTACGTCAATCACATGTGACTATACGCAGTTCTGAACCAAGCGTGGCGTCACAAGGCCGTGATGATACCACTCTCAGCCTCACCCTGCAAAGAGATTTCACAGCTTGCATGACAGCAATCTCAGGCCAGCATGCTGGGAGCGATTGCCACTAGGGTTGGTTTACTCCACAGTTAACCCTTTAGAAAACAAACGCTCACTCGCACCACGTACTTAAAGGTAAGTACACACCGATCCCGGCAACTGCTGTGACACTTCACAAAAAACCTATACAAAGCCTTTGATACCTCTGTCCTCTCAGACATAAATATGACAGGTTTAACTATACAGCAGTGCTCTTCCCAGAGGCGAGGATACTTTAAGTTCTTATTTAGAGTGTAGAGATAAGCTTAACGTTTTTAAAGATCGTCCTTTAATAAAAGAAACGGTGCAGAAAAATATACTGACAAATATTTTAATAAAGAGAGACAAAATGTATAACAGCAGTAAAATAAAAGGGAATAAAAGAAAAATACTCCACATTCCTGGTTTTATCAGTTCTGACAGAGTCCAAAGTTCAATAAGCAAAAGAGGGGTCTGAGGGGCTCTACTTCAAGCAAGACTTACACAGATGATGTCCAGATATTGAATGGGAACTCACTCACTCTGCGATGTTACAACTTCTTAATGTTGCAAAAGTTCCTTTCTTTGATGTTACAAACAAGAGCCTCTCTAGCTGCCTTAGCAGCATCTTTTTTTCAGCCCTCTAGGGAGTGTCACGGAGCCAGCCCCTAGGCAGGCCTGGGGAGGGAGAACAGGAGGGATGAGCCTTCACGATTTCCTCCTCTGCTCCTCCCAAACAGTTACATTCCTAACTAAGAGGATAGTGGAGTATTCATATTCAATACGGTCCGACAAGCCATATATTATAATGCGTCATGACATGAGCTTTGAATCAAAACCAAATTTAGCATGAATATGAAAGATGGCTGAGCAAGGAGGCCAAATGTTGCCTGTCTGGCCCCAGAGGATTTTAGTCTTTATGTTTTTGGTATGTTTGTTTCTGTCCCGACGAGACACAGCTATCTGTGCACTTAGTTTTACAATATCACTGTCCAATTCCAAGTTATGAAATAAAGTTGATATTGCTACTCTGGTTTATGACTTTTGGGTGAATGCCGGGTCACCTGGGTCATTCACTCTACCAGGCCTTCCGCTGTTTATCTAAATCTATCACATGCTAATTCATTAGTGGATTAGCTGAGCTTGGCAAAAGCATTTCAATGCATTAGCGGTTTATGACACCGCTCATTAAGAAGTCTTTGAAGCTGATCCCCATCAGGTCCAGGGGAAACTTTGGATAACAATCAGTTTTAATGCCTCACTTAAGAACTATACAGATTACAGGCACAGATTAGCAGATCTCTGTTTTTTGGTATTTGAAGAGACCTGAAGAAGAGTGCATTTGCTTTAACTAGATATCTTTAATATGAATACACTCAAACCCCATTATTGTCACAGGGACCACCAATTAATAGACTAAACATGCCCCACTGTATTGTACCGCAGTAGGCTGTAAGCCATTTATACATCTAACTTTAATTTCTTCATACAACGTATCAGACTTTGGGCATAATTATAAACATGAACTGCTGTTGGGTGACAATACAGGGTGCTAGAATAGTGGAATCCATTCCTGCTGAACGTTGCTTTGTGTGGAAGATTTGTATTGAATTATACAATACTGAATAGCATTTGGCATCATTTTTGTTCCCCATTGTGTTGTCTTGCTTTCAAGTGAATGTTGGCTATAACATCTGTAGATGCAGAGACCACAATTACACGAAGCTGTAGGGAACCTGCTAAGGTGACCTTTGGGACACCAGGATAAAAAATAAAGGAGCTAAATGCCTAAGTACAACTCTTTGTATAGAGAAAGCTAATATTCCATCTCTGTGTGATACATTCATTTTGTAGTTTGATAGGTACATTTGTTTTGCAGGAGCTGACCCTCTTTCAGGCAATAATGCTGCTAAAAGAATTTGAGCACCTTTTGAAGTTTTTTTTTGCAGTACATTCGCTGTATTCCATAGTGATTTGGAAGCATTGCATTGTATAGGGACTGCAATGAAAGTGATCTCTACCAACTTATGTAACATGTTCTCAGTCTCCAACCAATCCTTCCCTGCTGTTTCTGACTATCTTCTGTACTATGTCAGCAGTCTCTGAAATCTCAGCTGTATTGTACATTGAATATTATGCATGCCCCTTTGGCAATGCCTGGGGCCACACTCCGGGCCTCCTATATCTAGTAAGATGACCATGCTGCACAGCATAAAACCAAATCCTATAATTACTGTATAAGAAGGATGGATTCTTATGTATTCAACTGTTCTCATCTAAGAAGGTGAACATATTGAGATAAGTACAAACCGCCTGGAATACAATGATTGGCTTCTGAGCATGTGGCTTGCTGCTACAGAAAATACCCAGCATGCTCCACCAATTAAAAACTTGTCACAGAATGCTTTGATAAAGGTTATCGTAACAGTTTTTGTTCTTGCATTTCATACATGGAAAAATAGGAAGGCATTTTATCTCTGACATTTGACAGATTTGTGAGGCAATATACAATTCAAATAAGTTTTCTTAGCCTGTATTTTCAGGGAAAGCCTACAACTGTACAAAATACATTTCCTCATTGTGAAGTATACAGAGTTCTGAGCTCTAATGTAAATATTGTTCTAAGGGCCATTAGCATGATGTGCCAAGGCTTCGCAGTATCATCCTAATTTTCCAGGCTCAGTCAGGAGCAGGTACACAGAGGAGGACAGTGAAATCATGTACAACATAGATTGACATAACTCTTCCCAAACAGATTAATAGATAAGGCTTATTATTATTGCTGCACATTTACTTGGACAGTGTTGTGTTTACAACACAGTCAATATCACCATTTATACCCAGTATATACAGTAATTATACTATAAATACAGGTTATGCACCAGCACCTCCTGGCTCTGGTCCTGTACTGTCTACAATGCCCAGCATGTCACATCAATGCTGGCAGCCCTAACCAGCAGCAGGTGGGCACTTCTCTACTGACCAGCAGAAGGTGGGCACTTCTCTACTTATCATGAGCAGGTGGCCACTTTTCCACTAACCAGCAGCAAAGAGGCACTTCTCCACTGACCAGGAGCAAAGAGGCACTTCTCCACTGACCAGGAGCAAAGAGGCACTTCTCCACTGACCAGGAGCAAAGAGGCACTTCTCCACTGACCAGGAGCAAAGAGGCACTTCTCCACTGACCAGGAGCAAAGAGGCACTTCTCCACTGACCAGCAACAATGGGGCACTTCTCCACTGACCAGCAACAATGGGGCACTTCTCTACTGACCAGCAACAATGGGGCACTTCTCCACTGACCAGCAACAATGGGGCAATTCTCCACTGACCAGCAACAAAGGGGCAATTCTCCACTGACCATCAGCAGGTGGCCACTTCTCCACTGACTAGCAGCAAAGGGGCTATGTCTCCACTGACCAGCAGCAAAGGGGCACTTCTCCACTAACCACCAGCAAAGGTGCACTTCTCCGCTGACCAGCAGCAAAGGAGCACTTCTCCGCTCACCAGCAGCAAAGGGGCACTGCTCCACTGACCAGCAGCAAAGGGGCACTTCTCCGCTGACCAGCAGCAAAGGGGCACTTCTCCACTTACCATCAGCAGGTGGCAACTTCTCCACTGACTAGCAGCAATGAAGCCATGTCTCCACTGACCAGCACCAAGGGGCACTTCTCCACTGACCAGCAGCAAAGGGGCACTTCTCCACTGACCAGCAGCAAACGGGAACTTCTCCACTGACCAGCAGCAAAGGTACATTTCTCCACTTACCAGCAGCAAAGGGGGCCACTTCTCCACTGACCAACAAGTAAAGGGTCACATCTCCACTGAACAGCAGCAAGGGGGCACTTCTCAATTCACCAGCAGGAAGGAGGGTGCTTCTCCACTGACAAGCAGCAAGTGGACCACTTCCCCACTGACCAGCAGCAAGTGGACCACTTCCCCACTGACCAGCAGCAAGGGGGCCATGTCTCCATTTACCAGCAGCAAGGGGGCATTTCTACACTGACTAGCAGGAAGGGGATCTCTTCTCTATTGACCAGCGGTAAGGGGGTACACATTGCTGACCACCAATGAGAGTTGTCAGTAAAAGTAAAGGGGGTGGGGTCCCGGGTTGTGGGGAGGGGATAAAGACAAGGGTGACCTTGGAGAGGAAGGGGTAAGTACCTGCACCCAGGATTTGTTTATACTTACAGTGATTGAAGATGTGGTAGTGTTTCAAACTGTTCAGTATGAAGTGATAATGGATTACAACTGAGATTACTGCAATAAAAATATAAATAGTAAATCAAAAATAAATAGTTAATCATACTACCAGTAATAAAACATTACTGCAAAAGTGACCACTACAGCTAGTGAACTGGGATCATGCTGTGTGTTTAGGTAGTATAATAAATCAATGTATATTTATTGTCTTCATTTATGTTGCCACACAACAAACTCATTTTTTAAATGGAACAGGGTTTTTTAGCTGTTTTCCAGGAAAACACCAACAGAGGTTCTATGAAACGGAAACTGCTTCTACCTACTCCTATACTTAGAAACACTATACAACAAGACTGTAAAGATGGTGGGCATAGCTGGGAGTAGTAGAAGACTCTATGGATTGCCTACAAAATGCCCTTCAAAAGAAGAGGGTAAAACATGTTTATAAATATTTTTATTCATCAATCACATTGTTCAGGTATTTTAAGAGCCAGTGGGGCCGACTAGCAAAATACTGAAGCTTGGTCCAGCGGGAGATTCCTCCATCCACACAGTTTAGCGTAGATAGAGGAATCTGTTGCACTTTTTCCATCTGACCATAGAAAATCTGCAGAGAATCTATAAGTGTATGGCCATCTTAAGGGAGGATTATTATCACACATACAGGACAGGAAGGGAATAGAAATCTCCCTCATTAGACACAGATGGTTTTAACCTCCTCCTATTTATCCAAACTAAAAAGAAGTTTTGCCTTTAGCTATACTTTAAATGGTTTTACCTACCTCATAAAATTCTGATAACCCAAGATTAGTATATTATGGGGCAATTAAACGGGAATCCATCACCAAGAAAACAGCAGGCATACATCTTCTGCACTGCAAGGGATAAGTTATTGTTTCTGTCTAGGGGGCCTGGAGTAAAGTTGTTTTACTCCTGAACTTCCGGGCTGCTAGACCCCTCCTAGAAGCCCTAGTGTGCCCCAGCTGTGCCTGAGATTTTGATTGTGATGGGTAGGTGGAGGTACACCTTTCTTTTAATTTCCCCCTTTACTTTCTTTTCCTGGGGCAATAAAACTGTGGAAGGACATCCGAGAATATTTAATTAACAGAGGCACAGACAGCAAACCAAACCTGACAGAGGTTTTTATTCTTTGCTATTACAGCCGAATCTTCCAAATATCAAGTCTTTCAGATTGAATTCCCCTAAACCGGACTGGGCATTTGCAATAAACACAAATTAGGGAAGCAGTAAATCTGATTAATAGTGGTGGTGATTTAATCAATAATCACCTAAATTGCTGAATTTCCTCAGCTTGTCAATGACAAATATAAATGTTAAACATTATTTTGGTCTGTCCCATAATGTTGTGATATTGCTCGTCTTGTAACAGGTTCACGTTAAATCGATAGATGTACCAGTTGAAGTGCATTGTTTTCACTTACAGTTTTTGCAAATCTTTAAGTTCCTTAAAGCTGGAGAGTGGCACTTCTGTGATTAGATTATTGGACAAATCTCTAGAAGTAACAGGTAGAAATAAAAGAGTTATTTTAGGAACTGTTCAAGTGCTCAGTTTGTTGGATCGCATTAATAATGTGTCAATGTAATAGCACAATAATGTAGCGCTTATTTTAAGTGATAGAAAAGATGAATTTTTCCTTAGGTTTGTGATATTGAAGAAAGAATGTGGCAGGAAAAGGAGAGCCAGCAATATCACAAACCCAAGGAAAAATTCATCTTTTCTATCACTTAAAATAAGCGCTACATTATTGGCTTTTGAAGGTGCATGCTTCAAGGCTGCCATCTTTTTGTTATGTATGGTTTCGATACCTAGGGTTAGGGCTAACCCTAACGCTAAGGGCCAATTTACAAAAGACTTAGAATAATGCTACCTGCTCTCTGAAGGACACCAAAGTGTTTATTCCACACCACGTCTTTTATGTGCCATATGTTAAATGCAGGCTTTGGTTTGGCACATGTGTTGGTTGTCAGAGTGTTTATTTCATAACACTCTAGATCAGTGGTTCTCAAACTGTGTGACCTCAGGACCCACATTTGTTCTTGGTCATTAAGCTGTGACCCAAGTCACACTGCAATAGAATGCAGGCATACGAACTGTGGGTGGGAGGTGCGTTTGGGGTACCATTCAAATGAATGGCAACACAACACTTCCCACACCAGAATGCACGGTAGGTGCGATTTCGTGGTAAGGTGCGTTAATCGCACGGTACTATGCTATTAATGCACTGTAGTAGTGTGAACAAGCCCTCAAAAACACTGACATACATACATGACCACACACTCACAGACATTCTAATACATACTCCAAAAAATGTTTAATTTAATTTTTTTTAAGGTCCACCTGTAAGAAATGCATGTATGGATGGAGCTCTCTCACGGCCATAGCCCCCATCCAATCCCAGCTCAAGCAGACACTCGGCGCTGGGCAGCATATTTTGAATGGCTGTTTGGCGCGAGAACTGACAGTGCTGCGCTAGGGGGAGGCAGAGGAGCCTCTCACCTAGAAAGGTGGAAGGCATGCGGCGACCCACTGAAAACAGGGTCGCGACCCACCAGTTGAGAACCAAGGCTCTAGATGACACTTTGTGAGTATAGAGTAGGGATGAGCTCAGGTTTGTTCTGAATAAGGTCTGAACCTGAGCTTCTCGGAACAAGAAAGTGCCATGGGCAACTCCACCCAATCAGCTGTGGTACAGGCATTTCCTCGCCCCGTAGCTGCATGTAAACTTTCATTCACCTTCTAGCTTTTGTTGTTGTTTTTCATTCATTAAGTTGAATGGGGCTTCGCTTGTATCAAGACTAATCACATTTGTAAATCACATCACTGTCCTTAATTAATGTGCCAGGGTATTTTTTTTCTATCACTGCATTATGCCCACTGTAAGGCCACACTGATGCTTTATAACTGGTCCCTTAGTGAGAGAGTGACCTGTGTGCATAGAATATAAAAACCAAGGGGTCTTTTGTTTTTTAAACATATCGTCCAAAAAAGTGCGTCGCTTATTCCTGAGCCCAGTACGTCACTAATTCCTGAGCCCAGTGCGTCGCTTATTCCTGAGCCCAGTGCGTCACTAATTCCTGAGCCCAGTGCGTTGCTTATTCCTGAGCCCAGCACGTCACTAATTCCTGAGCCCAGTGCGTCGCTTAATCCTGAGCCCAGTACGTCACTAATTCCTGAGTCCAGTGCGTCGCTTATTCCCGAGCCCAGTGCGTCACTAATTCCTGAGCCCAGTACGTCACTAATTCCTGAGCCCAGTGCGTCGCTTATTCCTGAGCCCAGTGCGTCACTAATTCCTGAGCCCAGTGCGTCACTTATTCCTGAGCCCAGTGCGTCACTTATTCCTGAGCCCAGTGCGTTGCTTATTCCTGAGCCCAGCGTGTCACTTATTCCTGAGCCCAGTGCGTCACTAATTCCTGAGCCCAGTGTGTCACTTACAGAGCCATATAGCTACCATATAGGCAGGTCAAGCAGCTGCTTGATGGCGCCGGCGAGGGGGCGGGGAAAGATCCGCCTCTGAGGTGGGCCTATTTAAGATGGCCATGACGGCGGCGATGTTGTAATCGCCGCCTTTCTAAGCAGTGTGAGCAGAAGAGGTGCAGGTAAGTTCCCGCCCCC